TCACGTACCGCTTTCCCTTTCTCTTTCATTTTTTACATGTACTCTCTTAATTTCCTCTCACTCCCACCTATTTTAATTTCAATAAGTAGTTATAATTTTTTTTTGTTTTCACATTAATTTTCTTCCCCTCTCCCCTTTCAATTTTTACACTTACCCTCTTTTTCTCCTCTTTCAGTTTTCACATATACTCAGGATGTAGAAGTTAGAATTGGTGTATGACAATGTTATAAGTATGTTCAGCTTCCTCAATGGTGTCAGATGTACATTTTTTTTCTTTTAAAACTTTGTCCCTTTTCACACTTTTAGAAAACTTAACATTAAATTTAGTCAACATTAATTTTAGTGTTATGGAAAATGGTTTCTAGAATAGTAAAATTAGTATTCCAGAAAGCATTTTTCATAATTGTGTGTGTTTTTTTTTTTTTACATATTTTCGAAAAGTACTTTTCGTACTTTCCTGAAAATGTGTTGACTTACATAATTTCGAAAATTTCTTTCCAGAATGATAAATTTAGTGTTATAGAAAGTACTTTTCGTAAGTATGTAAAAAATACAATTTCAAAAAATACTTTCTAAAATACCAATTTCACTATTTTGGAAAATACTTTCCAAAACACTAAAATTAATATTCAGGAAAATATTTTTCAGAATACTAAATTTAATGTTAAGTTTTCTCAAAGTGTGAAAGGATAGGAAGTATTCGAAGAAAAATGTGCATATAACTCATTACCTTCAACATTATCGAGAAAATCACATGTAACTACAACGCCATCAAACACCAGTTTTACAGCTCAGGAACATGTAAAAATTGTAAGAGGGGAGGAAGGAAGAGAGTAATGTGTCAACTAAAAGAATTAAAACTACTTACTGAAATAGGTGAGTGAAAAAGGTAAGAAGTATATGTGAAAACTAAATGGGAGAGAAAGTGAACAATCTGTGTGAAAAAGAAGAAAAAAGTGTTAAATTGAAAGTTAGTAATGTACAATTTAAAAATTAGAGAATAGAAAAATGATTAAAGATATTTTAATAATTTTTTTTCAAAAAAAGAGAAGAAAATGTAATTATAAAAGAAAAGGGTTATATATATCATGAGGCAAGTTCTATTTCGGCTTAATGCTCGAGAGGTCCAAATATATTTATTTCTGGACTCGGATTGTTAGGAGTTTATCTTGGGTCCAATTATTTTCTGACAAAATCTATTTTATACTTTTATTTGCTTCTATTTATTTTATTATTAATTTCATATATTTCTTCGCAGAAAATTGCTTATTACACTATGATTATAATTTGAAAGTAAATTGTGACTTCATACAAATTTTACTTGTAATAAATCATAAAGTTCGAATCACTTACAAAATGTTTATTTTAAAATGTTTGATGTAAACTTATTTTAGTTTTTTTTTTGTTTGTTTAAATGTACTTTTGGCTTCTTAAGCATGAAGGTTATGCAATTTTGGTCCATAAAGTTTCAATTGAGCAAATTAGGTATCTAAATATTCTAATTATATAATTTTAGTCCTTACATTAACTTTTTATTAAAAAATCTAATAGATTTTGTTAACACGACAAGCAAATGCTAACATGATACAATAATTATATTTTTTTAATTGTTAAAATATTGAAGATATAAATTGAAGCTGCACTTCTACTTTCAACAATAAATCTATAAAAAATTTTTTACATGTAATATGTAAATGAAAGTTATAATAGTTAAAGAGTAAAAGAAAATTAAGCTCAGATTGATTTGGCAATCACAGCCAATTCTTTCACTTTTTCGTTAAATTAATTATCATCCTTGATGGTGGAGACATGGAATTATGGTGTAAGATAAAATATTAATTTATGAAACAACTTGGGTACGTGTGTCTATATCATTCAACATTATTTTATGAATTATGTTACGCACTTTAAACATGTTTATGTCTTTATCTCCGTCCAATAACCTACTTTACTTAGAAGTTAGTTTTATATAAAATAAGCAGCATGACAATAACGTGTAATTGACCATTTCAGCTTCCAATTATGATTGCTATGATCAATTCACAACAAGCAAGCGTGACAATTCACGTTAAATGTATATAGAATTCACACTTGAATTGGTTTGAAAAACTAATGCTTATTGGGAACATATTTATGTGAGGGGAATACTTTCTCCAAAGTTTTACATTACACGGTTCCTTTTTACTCAATTTACTTAATTATAAGATCACAATTTTAATTTGTGTCATTCACTTTATTTTGTGATATCTTAATTTTAGTCAAATTTTAATGTCGAATTTTATTGGGCATGAAGTTTTATTTGGCTTGACCCTTTCCAACAATAATCATAGTTTAATGGAATCATCACCTAAGGAAAACTAAATCTCCATGAATTGTGCTGAATGAGGAAGCAAATTAGTTATAGATTCTCAATAGAATAAGGCCAAAAAGGAGGATTTATTTTAATAACACTAATTTATTACAACCTTACAAAGCATCTACATCAACTACAGCTACCACATCTGAAGTTGGGGAATTCCCTTGGGATTCTCTCTCTTTTTTTTTTTTTTTTTTTTCTTGGATTTTCAATTGATTAAATGAACAATATTGAAGGGACATAATTTCATGCACATAATAATCTCAAGCTGTGACAGATGTCTCCACTGATAGCTTTCCAGGGTATGCAACTTCTGATTTTATATCAGCCTCCCATAGTTCAGGCACAGCCTCCCTAAGGTTGTGAATGCTTTCCAAGGCATAATCTGCACCTTTACATCTTTGGGATGTACCAACCTGTATGTAGTAGCAATCAAATTAGTTCATGGTGGGTTTAGATTCTCTCAAAGGAAACCAATAATACTTCCACACAGGGACGGAGCCAGGATTTCAATACTGGGGGTGCCATATAGGGGGTGCCATATAATAATATACATATGAGTTTATATTAAAAATATGAGTTTATATTAAAAATAGGGGGTGCCATATAGTAATATATATGTATATAAAAAAAAATTAAAATTGTTGGGGGGGCCGTGGCACCCGTAGGTCCCCCCTTGGCTCCGTCCTTGCTTCCACACATTCCCACTAACACTCTTGCTAACACTCTTTTATTATTGATTGAAATTTGAAAATCACAAATGTTTACGAGTTCTATCACTAAATAAAGAGAGATTCATTAAATGAGTCATGATACTCATAAAATTTGTGATTTTCTATAAATTTAGACCAATAAAAAAGAGTGTTATAGAAAATGTAGTTAGCTACCATCGTACTTTCTAGAAGGATGTGAGTTTTTACAACATAAAATTTCCAATGACTAACCAGCACAGTGTGAAGCCCCACACGTTTTCCAGCTTGTATGTTGCGGGTACTGTCCTCAAAGAACAACTGAAAAGTGACAAAGAGAGCCCAAAGAAACAAGTGAGCCAGCAAACAGAAAAAAAATAATTGACAAAGGGTAACAAGTAACATCATATCATGGCTAAAATATATTGTCTCTCAATTTGGTCTCTCCATTTTCAAAAGTTTCTCTTAGTCTCTTAGAGTGGTCCTATTAGACCAAATTTGATTTTCCGTCAATATTACTAAATGTAGGAAATGCCTATGTGATTGATATTTCAAAAATTAGTATAGTAGATTGACGGACAAAACGATTTGATCTATCATAAATAATTTAAGAAATTAAAGTAAAACATTTTGAACTTAAGAGACCAAATTGTAAGGAAGATGAGGATTGTTTTAGCCTTATGTTATATGATAAAGTCTTGAGGGTGATTTTCTTACAGTTCTTTGTGGGTTAAGGCTGGCTATTTTGAGGGCCAATTCAATGGCATTTTCTGATGGTTTGCAAATAATTGGTGTCTTTGGCAAATCTGCACTGGGATTGGGCTGAGCAAAATGCTCTATGATGTCAAAGAGTTGAGTGGTGCCTGAACCATTACTACTAGTTGTAATGGTGCTCCTTGAACCCACAAATTCAATGTCATCTTCATCATCAGAAACAGTGCTCTTGTGGATGGGATTAAGGGTCTCAAAGCATATGATTCCTTCAAAGCAGTCTTCTAATCCAAGCCTGTTAAGTGCCTTAGCAGCGTGGACTTTGTCTGCATTTGTGAAGATCTATTGACAAAAACAAGAGTAGCAATAGATGCCACATTAGATACTAATATTATGCACTATCTTATGTGACCTTTATTCTACTTCTTTTATATTGGTAATAAAATTATAAATCAACTTACAAGTTTCCTATAGGGCAGGCTCAGCAATAGGTTCCTCAGAACTGGGTCTGGTTTTAGGTTCTCATATGGTAACCTCCCATGAACAAAACTGCAATCATTAATTAAAAAAACCAATGTCACCATTTAAAAATATAAACAATAATTAAAAGACTAATATTTTAGAAGTTTGAAAGTGATGGGGTGAAAGAAAAAAAGCAAAGAAAGGTACCTGTGATACTCATCATAGTCAAAGTCATATCCAATTGCCTGAATAGAAAATGAAACAAAAACAATTATCAGCTGTTGGTGTTTTAACAATATAATAATGGAATCAAATTTCATCGGAAATGATAAGGAAATCATACCCTTAGACCAGCCATGGTTGTTCCATAGTTCTTGTAAAGGAGGTTGGACAAGTCATCAATTTTGCTAGGGTCTATGCCAAGCTTCTCAACCATGTAGTCTATGATCAATGACACCGCTCATGTCAGTACCAATTATAAAGACATTTCTGAGAATAGCATGACTTATGAATATGGCACAGTGGCTCACCTTTAATATTTTGGAGACATGCTTTTGCAAGACCAGATCTGAGGGGATACAAAGTATCATCTAAATCTGCAAAACAGAACAATCTCATGGTTATAACACAACATACATGAACATGAAAGTTTTGAGTTTCAATTTAGTATTTTAAAGCTGTTCCAATTGCAATAAAAGGCTCACCAAAAAGAAGGCAATCATATTTTGGTCTCTGAGCTTGGTGTCTGAAGCGGTCCTCGAATTCCATTTCAAAGCCTTAAACATAGAACAGAAAAAGTGTGTGAGTTCCAAGTCAACTTGAACCAAGCAAAATTTATAGGGGAATTCATTTTTGATTCTCAAGTCCCAGATCCTCATAGCTTTTTCGAACAAAGAAAATAGATGCTCTTATTGACTCAGATTAGCACCAAAAGTGGCAAAAAGTCTCCACAAGGGGAGACAATCCAAAGTCCAAACCATTTGGGATAAGGCTTTGTGAAGTTTCTGAGTGGACAATCCACATCCAGTGGAATGGATTGAATTAAAAAAACAGTGTAACAGTGCCCCTTTGGGGGCACGGAACTTAAAGAAACTTGTGAAGGCCTTAAAAAGTTGCTTTAAATTATAAAACTTAGAAGCCACAAGAAAATGACTTGTAAGAAAGGGCACAAACCCATTAATATACCATTTGAACAGAGTTCATATGACAGAGCAACCACTTCCAAAAGTGCATAAACTTTTGAAAGCTTAAAATTTTGCTTATTTATCAAACTTTCACGATCCAACCAAAGTTCCAATTGGATTGTCCAGAAAATGCAACGCTTTACAGCAATGCATATTTTTTAGCCTCATCACAGCAAGGAAAACAAAGGTGATAAATTAAAATGTGTAGAATTAAAATCACCATATAAACAGGTGTACATTTCCAAACAACAGAGTTATGGTATTGTTCTTTGATCCAAAATCTGGTTCCATAATCTCAAAATCATGATCATGGTACTAATGGACTAATGTCAATTATGTTTGAACTTTTAAGGATCATGAAGCCATGGCAACGAGTGAAAAGGATATAAAAAAAAAAAAAAGTCTGCTTGAAAAATATATGAAGCTATTAGCTTACCAAAAAGGGAACAATGAGGGGTAAGGCCAAAGAAAAAGAGGGTGTGAAGAAGCAAAGTTTGAACAAATGCAAAGTTATGGAAGGAAGCAAGAGGGAGAAGGGGGAGGAACAATAGAGGCAAGATGGAGTTTATATAGAGAAAGGGTTGCTTCTGTGGCAGGGTCTTTGAATATAATATTGCATTATTTTCTTCAATTACGTTTAGCTTTGAAATTGAATAATTATGGGCAATGGAACTTCTACAATCAATATTATAATTTTCACTTCTGCAAGAAAGGGACCACTTTTATTTATTTATTTATTTATTTCATAATTATGTTATTTGTATAAAGTATGCATTAACTTTGTCAATGACGAATTTTTATCAAAATAATTTGATTATTCATTTTTAATAATTTTTTTTTTTTTTACAAAACTTAATTTAAAATCTTACTTAAAAAGACAAATTTGGTTATATTCGGACCAATAACATTTTGTCCATGAAAGTGACAAGTGACATAATTGGTTAAAGGTTTTCTCTTCTTTTAATTTTGGGTTTTGTTTTTGACTCAAATAAAGAACCAAAATCTGATTTTTCCTTTTCTTTTGGCTAATAAAAAAAGTATAAAGGGGAATATGCCAGCTGCATGAGCACAAAATAGAGGTGGAGGCTCTTGCTAGTTGTCACCGTACGCAAGGAACAGCACACTCTTGTTCCCCAGTTTTTTGGTTACAAGATCACTTTGCTTGATTTCTCTTCCTAACCATGTGCACATTTTAAACATGATTAAATATGGAAAGTAACTGGTGAATGTCTTTAATAATAACACACGACCCAATTTGTATATGCTAATCTGCATTTACAATGCTACTATTAGAGACATGCATATTCAAGCATATTTGAAGATTCATCATGATTCACGCACCTTTGGATGAAATTAGAAGAAAAAAAATGGTATGAAATTTTGGTACGTTGTCTTTAAAAATTTGTGATGTACATATTTTAAGTTGTAGCACAAGTACATGTAACTTTTATTTTTATATATTATATATGTAATAAAATATGAATTTACTTCTTTCTTATCACTCTAATCTTATGTTTCTCCTTTCAAACTATTTGACCACTTTATAATTCTCTTTTATTTGTAGCTCTTAATCGTACCTGTAATCCACATATATGCAAATTTCAATAATTAAAAAAATGTTATATTTATAGGGTAATTAGTTTCTAGTTTATACCACACCTAGAACATAATTCAATTGAGGTAACATTATTTTAACTTAATCCTAGTTTCAAACATGTTAAATATTCAGATAATGGGTTTTATTCCTCGTAGTGATTCTATTTTACTTGAATAATTTTGTAAAAAATACCCTTGGTCTAAAATTAAAAAAAAATAATTAATCTGTTAATTGAGTGTTACCTAAGAGAATAAACTACATACACACCAAATACATGCGGATTCTCCTTTTAGAAGCTTTTCCATCCTTAAATGTAGAATAAAAATCATTTTTTCGAATGAGTAATTTATATAAAGAAACCATCAAATGAAATTGTTAAACTTGATTGATGTCTTGTGTAGCTTGTAGAAAAGATTGAGTTTTATTTTTATCATCTTAAATGGCTATGGATCCTCGATTCTCTAAGTCTCCAACCCTTTAAAAAGATTGAGATTTTTATCATCCCAAATGGTGATAAATTCGTATTCTCTAACCTGTTAGAATAGTGGATTAAGCCTAACTCAACCCTACAAAACCGGCTTGTAAGGTAAGGGTTGCTTTCCACTTATATATTATTCAATTGCCTAATCTCTAGTCGATGTGGGACTTGGATTTTTCCCAATACACCCCCTCACGTCCAGCACTATTGGGCTTGGTACGTGGATAAATGGTGGGTGGCCCTTTTTAATGATCTAGGATTGGCGGGACTTGGGTTTTTCCCAATATACCCCCTCATGCCTATGAGACATGCATCAATGGTGGGTGGCCCATTTTTAAAGTGGATCTAAATGGCTCTGATACCATGTTAGAATAGTGGATTAAGCCTAACTCAACCCTACAAAACCGGCTTGTAAGGTAAGGGTTGCTTTCCACTTATATATTATTCAATTGCCTAATCTCTAGTCGATGTGGGACTTGGATTTTTCCCAATATAACCCTTTAACTTTGCCATACCAAGCAAGTCTTCCCCTTCTACTTCTTATTACATCACCATACCAAACTCATTTTTTTAATAATCATATTATGAATACAAAATATTCATCAATTATGTACATAATTAATTTCTATCAGAAAATTTGATTGACTATTTTATTAGAATTTTTTTTTTCAATTATGTATTCTTTCATATTTAAATTCAAAATATTGCTTAACTAGACGAAACTCACATCAATCCAATTCCAAAGTTTTTTTATAAAATAATGTGAATAATTAATTACAAACCAATACGGATGATGCCATTTACAGATAATTGTTGCTGCGATACAGGTGTAAAGATTTTTTTTAAGAAAAATCTTAATATTGCTATCCTAACTATGATGAGACAATGCAATTTAAACCTAGCCTAACTCATTGTTTCTCTCTTCATGCTACCTTCATTTTCGCTTCCTACCAAAAGATCATACTCTAACATGAGCATGCAAAGTCATCAAAAAAAATTTTCCTCGAAAACTTCAAAAATGAAAGAATTTTCATTTGTAATATTTTATTTTTTTGGAGGGGTGCTCATGTACATTTTGTTCAATAGCCATCTAAACACCTAGCTCATGCCACCACACCTAGTTGGCTTGTTCATTCATGATGAATTTCTCTTTTTTCATTTTCACATTACTTGAAATTGAGCTTACCAATCTTCCTCAACAACGCAACCTCTTTTGATATTCATGATCTTAATATAATTAAGTAATTTGAAGAAGAGACACATGGATTTGTCGGAAGACAATCGAGACACCTAGCCCATGGTCCACAAAATATCATCACCTAGTTCATGCACCATGAATTTCTCTTTCATTTTCCAATTTGCTTCAAATCGAGCATCCGAATCTTCCTTGATATAACTTAACCTCTAGTGAAATTCCATATCGTAATATAATTATTTAAATGTCTTTTAACTTGGATTGGATGCTTGCCATAATTCTATTAATAAACAAAACTACAAGTTCCTCACTATATTTATTATATATCTTTTTATATTTCTTCCTATCCTTTTCATTAAATTTCCAATTAATTATTAATTTCATTAATTAATTTACTTCCTAATCTTTTTAATCTTCGTAATGGATAAGGTTAAATAGTAAATACTCAAACTCGCCCTCTTGACACTTTAATTTACATGGAAGCAAACAAAATGCATTGAAAAAATATACGCATATTTTTTCAAATTTCAATCTTATATTAAATATTTGGATCGAAAACGAATAACTAGATGCAATTACACGTGAAAAAGTTGTTTAATGGATTTTATTTTACTTATTTATTTACTTTTTCCTCTTTTTCATTACACGTGATTTCAACTCATGTAATTTTTTTTCCTATAAATAACTCTAAATATTTGATTTATTCAAAATTTTATGGAGAACTATAAAGTCCCGTATCATGCATTTACAAAAGAGTTGAATTCAATTTATTTAAATATTTTAATACACCTTTCATTCCACAAGAAACCGAATGCAATTATGCAACTCACAAGTTAATCATTTTTAAATTCTCCTTCTATGATTTGCCAAGGAAAATTTTACAATCTTAAAAGTCACATCAGGATAACTCCAATGAGTTTCAAGGAGAAAAAAGAAAATATTTGTAGTATTTTATTATTAAGCTTCTTTATGACAACACTAACAACAACGTGAGATGCATCAACAACCCTATTTTAATGCTTCTAACTTTAATTTTTGTTGGCTACAAGTGCTTTTGCCCCTTTCTTTAGCCAAAGTGAAGCAAGTGCACGGAATAAAAGGTAGGAAAAAAGAGAATGCAAATAAATGTTGCACCTTCTCAACTCAAGTTCTCATCAACTTCTGTCCACAAATTCATTGACGTAGTACTACCACGACACATGGTCAATATTCAACCTATTGAATATTTCAATATTAATTGCGGCACTGCCCCTAAAATTAGAAGTTACTTCTCTGTCACAACAACTGGAAGCCACCTGTAGTGTAGATGACATGGTGTTTAACTAGAATAATCTTTTAATTAATCATATAATTATTACCCTTTTGCGTGTAGGACTCCTACATGCCTAAAAATGTATAATGCAACTCAAATTTGTTAGTTTCATACTTACATTTTTTAATTAAAGATGGTAGTTTAATTTTTAATTAATTAGTTTGTACACAGAATTGTGATAATTAAAACGAAAATATCATTTATCTTTATATAAAAAAAAAAAATAGTCTTTTCTATTAAAAAATGACATTAAACATTTTTCCTTTCTATTAATTAAGAATGACAAATAAACCCGTACTCGTTAAGTAATATCCGAATCCGTCCCGACTTTGATGGAGAATATCCGGTTTGACCGGGTACGGGTACGGGTACGGGTATAAGTAAAACCCGATAAATTAAACCGGGTACGGGTACAGGTATGAGTATATACATACCTACCTCGTACTCGTACTCGTACCCGTACCTGATTTAATTATATTAAAAAATTTAATATTTTATTATGTGTAATTATTTATTATAATGTGAAATATTTATAGTTGTGTAATTATTAAGAAATCTCTTGATTAAAATATGTTATAAAGAAATAATTTAATTATAATTATAATATAATAGAAAAATAATTTAAAAATATTATATATTTTTTTTTGTAAAAAAATAAAAATACTTTTTTACGGGTACGGGTATACCTGATACCCGACGGGGACGAGAATGAGGATAAAAATCACATATCTGACAGGTACAGATACGGATACAGGATGAGTTTATGTCGCAGAGACAGAGACGAGTATCATAAAACTCGTACCTGACCCGTTGCCATTCCTATTATTAACTACATGCTTTAAAATGTGTCATATTATATTTTTGTCATAAATTCTGTTAATTCAATTTAATGGTGATGTCTAATTACCAAACATGTTATTACAGTATATTAATCTAAAGGAGAAAAAAAGTATTGTTGACTGAACTTCATTTTTAAATTAGATTAACAAAGTTAATTATTA